TTCCCGAGGAGTTGTTTTGGAACAATGATCAAAATAGAATACAGAGCTATTTACGCAAACTGTCTAAGGAGATGGATATCGTGTTAGTGGTCGAATATCTTGACGAGTCTATCGTATTGATGCGAAGACTCTTGAACTGGGATCTAAGACATGCTTTATATGGTAAACTCCATGTCAACAAGCGCAATGATTCGCGATTGCAGTTTGGATCAAAAGTGGAAAAACTTTATAAAAGCTGGGCACATCTAGATTATGCTCTTTATGGGTTTTTTCTTCGCAAACTGAAGAAAAATTTAAAACGTCAACTTCCTGATTTTTATGACGAACTTGCTTATTTCAGAAGAACGAGAATAAAGATTGATGAGTTTTGTTCGTCTACGAGCTCCGATTACCACACCGACACAGAAATGTCATTTGGAGGCAGTAAGTGGAATAAGCCGTTCGTTATCACAAAAAACAATTGTGAAAATTATACGTGAACAACTTCTCCAGAGGAAGTTCTCTCCTTTGTGTGAATGTGATCAGAACACCACCATTTCCTGGCAGCATTGCCATCAGATTCCGGTATACCTTACCTTACGTTAATTGTTATATCAGTGTTTGCTGGACTCTTGGCTACGACGGACCATACTTGTGTCGGGCCTTTAGGTATTACCTTGAAATAAATGTAGTTCGTAGTTTATTTAGTGGCAGGCGTCTGAAACTTGCTGTACATCCATTTCTGATCAAATATATCTGTATATAAGTAAATTGTCTTTTATGTGTGTTCCCTAATGTAATCGATAAGCATTTCAGCTCGATCATTTTGTTTCATTTCACAAAGATTTTATTGAATATTGTAGCCTATACAAATTCAAAATGAATTGGGCAACAGGCGTAATGCCTATACAAGCCCTTTCCTGGTGTGGACTATAATATAATAATTGTGAAACATTTTTAAAACTTACTACATCGAGGACATATTGTTATGTTGCCTATCTGTCTAATTAACGAGGTGACCCTTCTTTTTCCGATCATAGACGATAAAGTCATATTAGAATGATTTCAAGGGGAACACAAACGGTTTCTGATGTGTTTCGTAGCATATGGTGACTGATTCCATCCTCACCCGAGGCCTTACCAAGCTTCAATATCTGTAAAAATATCTCGTATTTCATTATTATTTACTCTAATGGATCTAAGACTCTTGTCAGTTTTTGACTCGATGAAAGGAACCGCAGTGTTTCTGTCATCCGCACGAGTTATATTGCAAACAATACTCATTTGATATATTAGCTTTGTCTTCGTCAGTAGTAACCACATTGTCAGAAACAGGATCTACAAGAGTAGGTTTAGATTGTGTCGAACCAGACGATTGTATTAACGTTTTGATTTGTCTCCAATAAGCTTTTGGATCAAAGGACGAGTACTCTTCAATAATACCATGAACACTTTCATAAAATAATTTACAGGCATGCTTTTTCATGCTATTGACCTTATTCCGTTGAGATTTGAATTTGTTGATGTTCGAAAGATGTTTGTCTGACCTCGCAATTTTATGCAACGTAGTTCTACCATGTAGTATGGTACCCTTCAACTTATCGAAGTCACGAAAAATTATCTCTATTTTTTATTGTTTTTCTTAATTCAGAGGTCATCCAAGGTTTATCATTAGGTCTCATAGTTATATCTTTAGATGGAATGCATATATCTGCAAAATTTAAGACGTAACAGTAAAACGTTTACAGGTAGTATCAACTGAATCACAATTTAAAAAAAGTTAATTCCAATTATTATCAGAAATAAGATAATTAAATCTGTCAAAATCTGCCCGCTTGTGCAGCCAAATTTTTCGCTTAAAAATAGGTTTGACAATACAGGGAATATCAATGCAAGCAATACAACCGTCATGGTCACTGAATGATTTGTCTATTGTTTTAACAGAGGAATCAACACAGGAAAGTGAGTCGGTTAAAAATATAGGATCAAGTAGGCTAGATCAAGCCGGTCCAATACGAGTCGGTTCATTCATAACATTTAACATGCTAAAGGAATTAATAATATCAACAAAAACATGGTTTGAGATGCAGTTAATAAGTCGACATTTAAATCTCCCGGGATTATATCATTTGGTGAAATATCTAGAGCAAGGTTTAATTAAAAACGTCAGTAAATTTTCCAAAAAAGGTAAAACAGAATTTTCAGGTCTGTAGGCCGAACCAATCACAAATACAAAATTTGGTAGAGTGATTTTTAACTAAATAATTTCATCACCTGGATATTCTAATTCCAGTAAACGGTCAACTTTTAAAATATTAATGATAAAAACCAGGACACCACCACCAGCGAAATTTCTATCAAGTCGAAAAGGTAGGTGAAAACCAGTTATAAGTAAGTCATCTGTAGAGACCTGATCATCTAAAGGAGTTAGAGTTAAGCATATTATATCATATTCACTAGGTATATCCTAATGTTTTAATACATTTTACCACAGTGACATTGAATAAAAGTTTAGTCATATCGTTTGCAAACTTTGGAGCAATCCGTGGCACAAAGTTAGTTTCCAAATCGGCATACTGAAAATCCTGCATCACAATGTATGAAATAACGAATTGTAAGGAGTAATTAGTCTTGCAGTATATTAGTAAGTTGAAATGTTTCTGTGATGTGGTGAAAAGGAAAAAAATGTATCGTACCATATACTAAGGCTGAATATATGTATACATGTCATATATCCTTCAATATGTTCAAAAATAATAAACTGTGAAGGAATTGCTTTCCAAAGCCCATATTTAAAAAGGCAAAAGAATAACAAAGGGCTTTAACCCTGTTTTTATCAACTCATTTTCTTCCTAGGATAAATAGAACAAGTTTGGTGAATGTATGTGAAATGATGATATGGAGGCTTTGCATTGGGATCAAACTAAGAGCCACTCCGCCTTCCTTAAATACGTTAGTACAAGCATAGAAGTTTATCAGGCTTAGATGAAATAGTAAGAAGTTATGCTCCAGACTAATTTTATATAACAAATAAACAAAGAACCATAACTCTCCCAACTGCAGAAGTATAGCAAGCTGGTGAACGTTACTGAAATAGCAAGAAAACTACGGTACAGAAACAGAATTATTGACACCCAGCCAGTTTGCCAGTCTGACAATATGTACACCATAACATTACATGTTCCTGTCAAGGAAAAGTCTACATGTTTGGGTGTTGGTTCCTGAAAATTCCACTGGATCTGTCCTGCTGACCATCCAACTGATGTGTTTGTTGAGAAATGAATGCAAGTAAGTTCCTCTTCTTTATTTATTCAGTCTCTCAAGTTATATATAAACCATTCCAATGTTAAAATGTATATGAAGTGAATAAAACGAATGCAGTAAGTTCTTTTTTCTTTATTTTTATTAAAGATATACATAAACAGTTTCTATGTTAAAAAATAAAAAGAACCAACAAAGTGTTCGTTGTAAACCTACACATTCATCAACACTTATGTCAGGTATTTTTGTTAAATCTTCTTCATAACTAACATAAACTAACAACATATTTGCACCAATAAATTAAAGGTGTATACATTGTTTTTTTTGAATTTCTCAAATGATGTATTCATCATAATATATATGCTCAGCTACATGTATTCTGTATCAAAAAGTGTTAATTTACCGTGATAAAGATCATTTTAGACCTCTTATAAATACCAGATAATAAAGCTCTGATGATTCAGCGACTGGTTAAATTTTACACATTAATACATATCATGAACCAGAACATTTCACATGTTAGATAAACAAATATACAATTACAAACACCATGTACAGACTAGTTAATTTCTTATATCAGATGTGCCTGGAGTATATCAATTGAAACGCTGCAGAGACGACCCCGTTCTAAATACCTTATTGTCAAACTGACTTTATGATTTTAAATAACAATAATAATAATAATCATTGTCGCACTGAACTGAGAATGCTGCCCTCATTGATGTGAAATAAAAAAGCCACCTTGTCTTTGTATATACATATTTAATTCATCAATAATAATTGGAAATGACTTTTAAAGCTTAATCATACACAGGTAAAATGATATTGAACAAGAGGCCCATGGGCCTTAACGGTCACCTGAGTCCTACAGTATTTATTTTTGTTGTTGAAATATGTACCAATTTGAGTAAAAAATAGTTAAGTATAATGTTAACTTAACTTTGTCAGGACCATGAGCTGATCATTCCTAGACCGATTTTAAGTGAGATCGGCCTATTAGAACTTGTTTTTAAGTTTGAAATAGGTATTTACAAAATAGCGGCCATGGCAGCC